CCAGTCGACCAACCATTGATTCATCACTCATTCCGCAAGGGTTTCCACTACTGCGATGGATACAGGTATGTACGTTTAAACCTCCTTGATAACTGCAGCATGATATTCTTTGGGGTGCAACATGGCTTCTTGTTCTTCGCACATGAATGGTATTGGTATGATTCTGCAAGACTAAGGATTGATTTGCTCCCCTTTATTTATTCTTACATAAAAAAGTAAATTGGCTTTATACTCCTTTTACACTCTTGTGTGTTTGGATGATCGATGTAAAAGGTAGCGTCCCTTAAGCCTTTGATTGGTCAGCCCATCTCCTCTTTTTTCCATGTCCAACATTGAGCATTATTTTCAAAAGCCTAAAAAGTTGTAGCTGAGATAAATGTTTTCATTTTCATCGTAGAACAAGAACCCCAATTTTTCTATGTTGAATCAATGGATGAATGATGGATCGGTGTTAAATATTTGCAAGAAATTAAAAGGGAAAAACATGAGAAAGAACAAGAGCTTCATAGGATTTCTAGACGAAATCTAGTAATAGGAAAACCCATGGAAAATCAATTTGGGATAGAAATATGGCTCTGGGATTGAAGCTTCCTTGCCGCAACTCCAAGCCATGTAGTTACAGAAGCTTTTTCTCTTGTTCAAGACATGTTTGGGTTTTCACCGTTGACCGATTGATTCCATCTCGGAATCCTAGATGTTGGACCGTGGTGGCTGCCGACTGACCAAAGTGGTGATCGTGATCGCAATTGGATGTCTGAGGTCATGGTGGTTGCCACAACAGTTGTTTTGGGAGAGAGGGAGAGAGAGAGAGAATCACACTCATCGGAGAAGCGGTGGCACTGAGGAAGAGATATATTACTGGAAGAACTACCTTTACACCAATGGAGAGATGAGAAGAGGTTTCCAAATCGATTTTTTCGATGTATTTTTTACATTGATTCTCAATGTAAAAATCTATCGAAAAGATTGTTTACATCGATATTCATTTTTATTTTACACTCCAACCAAACAACTATAAAACTGAACCAAAGTGTAAAATTACATAGAACCGGATTTTACACCATTTCCAAACGCAACCTTAGGTGGCGTTTGATTGCACTATTCAGACGTCTAAAGTCTGAAATAGTTGCTTTTCAGACACCACAGCCATTTGGGTGTGCCTCTTAATATTAGATCTGAAATGCATTTTCATATCTTAAATTGAAAGTGGTTGGGTGAGTGCTTAACGCACTCAGACACTATTCAGATGTGAGTAAATGACAATATTATCCTCATAAAAAATTATAAATGACAACATTTTGTCCTTCAAATAAAACCCAAAAAATTAGGTCATTCACCTTCATTTTCGAACCGAGAAGAAGCTCACCGCCAACCCTCTCTACAAGCAAGCTCCACCTCCATTTCTCTTCGAACCGAATCTACTCTCTCAAAGGTATGTTTCTTGCTTCGAACTGAAGAACCTTCTCTTCAAACCGAATCTGAAGAAGCTCCCTCACTCTGTTATTAAAACCCTCGCAATCTTCAGTTTTTTCTTTTTTTTTATTGACATGCTTGTTGGATAGACATGAATGATTTATGCTATTCAACCATTCGGATTCTTTTTCTTTGTTGTATATGGATTAATAGGAATGATTTTCGTTTGATTTGGTTTACCCAGATTCTCTGTAAGATTTATCATTAACCATAATAATGTTAAGGTAATGTATGTTGGGGGAAGAACTGATCCTTTGAAAACTTGAAGATAGGCTCAAGAACTGACCACTGTGCCTTGCATTGCTGCATCAACGAAAATAACTTGTGGGTAGGGCTAGGACTTAGGTTTCAGAAGAATATAGAAGATAGGTTTAGTGCTTTACAATCAACTTGTTTTTGTTTAATTTATTAATTTATTTTTTTGGTAAAACTCAAGAAAACATTCCTTTAGGTTACATTTCCTGATGTCCATTCTCTGCTAGCCTTTCCTGATATTATATGAGACTGTGAGCTATTAAATTACAGTCTCTATTGATATATGTTATTTTACTTCTGTCAAAGAGATTGACAATTTGACACCATACTGAAGTTCTTCAATCACCGATTGCTCCAACCATTGTGTGTTCTTGTTTCTGTTGGATAATTGGAAGGCTAGTTTAGCCGAATTTGTAACAACTTGATCTCCTCACGGACCAAAATTTAGAGCTCACCTTAACTTGAGAAGACCAAGTTGTTGCTTCATTTTAAATCTAAAATTTCTTTCAAAATGTAGTTTAAAACGAAATTGCTGCTTTAGTAGTCATTCCATATTGCACAAAATTATTATTTTATAGGGTATTTTGAGATGATTAAGCAAGTAATTAGCAGTTTTAGAAGACCAAGTTACTCATTCTTACACTTGTATTTTGCATTTGGGCTTTTGTAGTCCTGCCATGCTCAGGTTGGATTGAGATGAGTTCGGTTCTGATTCAGTGGGATTTTGGATCTTAATTCAAGTCCCAAACTTTTAGTTTTATATGAACTCAACAAATTTTTTTTGTTTTGGCTCCTCCTCCCTCATTTTGGAGAGAGAGAGATTCTTCGCTGTAATATATTTTCACGTAAGCATAGTTTTAAACAGCTAGCGCCACCATATACAATTGCAACATAGATCCTAGGTCCCTGCTTTGCTGAGTTGACTCGAATTCTGAGTCGGCAAGGTATTTTGAGGAATAGGTGTCAATGAGTTGCATAGAGTAGGTGCACTGTGTCTGTGTGCACGTTCATAGAAATCCAAGCCTATCCTATAGAAACTTTTAACATCTTTATGTATTGTAAGATAGTAGACAAGGCTTTTACTCGTAAATCTGAAACCTGAATCGCCCCAACGTCCTCTCTTTCCTAGAGAACAAGAGCCATGATAGGAAAAGCACTGCTTTACGTATATGGCCTAGGAACAAAGATAATTCCTTATCCATAGATATATGTTTGTCAAAACCAAATGAAAGGTCGTTTTCTGTATAGCTCATGGTCATGGAACGCCCATGCCCCAAGAGCATGTGGCAACCCCTCACAAAATGGTGCAACCCCCCTCCCCCAGCTGTGGCTCCAGATGAATCATGAATACAAATTTAGTGATTGTTTCTTTCTTTCATGAATAAGGAGATTACTAGCCCTGACTGATCTCCAAACTCAGTCGGCCTTGATCTGGACTGAACTACAGCTGACCCATTTCCATTGTTGTACATACCTACAGTGGACTCTGCTTGTCTTTATGTATTGAACTTGGCTAGCATCCTGCTTTTATACATTGAGATTGACAGAGCAGGCCAGAGAACCTCATTAACAATTGGATCAGAAACAAACCCATATCGCATTGATTTCAAACTTGCCGACTCAAAAAGTCTAGTTCTGTGTTTAGCCTGCCATTGTTGTTGCCTTTAGTCACCTCAATAAGTGAAAGAAAATTCCCAAACTTAGAGAGATAACTAGAGATACTGAATTTACACCCCCCAAAGGTTTATTTTGCTGATATGTATATGTTTATTTTGTTGATATAAATATGAGTATAAATATGAATTTACACCCCCCAAAGTTTCTTTTTGTTATAACTCTTTATGCTTTGAGATTGGGTTTTCTACTTTTGACATAGGTCCTACATTATCATTTATAGGGGTTAAGAATGGCTACTGGAGATAACTTTGATAGAGCCACTTTGGAAGGACCCGGCCCTACAAAAACTATTGTGGACTTCTGCATTGATGAGGTGTCCACTCATAGGAGACAAGGTGGGTCACTTAAGAAAGAATCATGGGCACGAATTCAGAAAAAAGATAATGGAAAATCTCCATAAGAATTTTTCATGGAAGCAACTTAAAAATGGCTTCGATTATTTAAAGAGAAAATATCAATTATGGGTGACCCTCATCAATAGGACTCGAAATGGATACAACCCGTCTACTGGTACAGTGGACTGGTCAAATGAGCAGTGGGAAGAGTTCTTGAAGGTTTCCTTGAATTTTTGTTGTTGATAGGTAATGTATATGTGTGTAGGATCTAATAGGATGGGTTGTTTGTTTGTATGATAATGAGCCTATCCAAATGCAAAGGTTTTTAGGTTTGTAGGACTCCAATTTGCTGATGAGTGTACAATATTGTTCAATGGGGTCTGTTCAATTGGAGAAGTTGGTTGGACTCCAATGGCAAATAGGTCAAGACCATTGGCCTCTACGGGTTTATCAAATGCTTCACTAGGTACTGATTTTGATAGTGAGACACCAGATGGTGATCCTATTGACATTGATGATACGCCTATCACACCTCCCGCAAGGTCCCAGCCTCAAACACAACAACCTTTTAAGGAGTCTACAGGTCAAAGTGAACACCCCTTTAAGAGGCAAAAAAAGTTCACTAGTGAGCTTAATGCTAAGATGGAGAAGCTTCTTGATATTATGATTGTTGAGGATGGAGGACTAACTGTAGAAAAATGTATTTAGAAGCTTCATGATTTTGGCTAGACACCTAGTACTCCTTTATATATAGAGGCTTCGGTCATCTTGGCGGAAAGCCTAAAAGCAAGAAGGGAATGGATCCATTGGTGTGGATCTTATGACACACCCAATGAGGAGGCGATTTAAATGGTGGATATCAGTTTATGCAAAGAGGATGAACATATTATAGGACTTGTCCGTCGATTTTAATCATACTTGGACTTGATGTTTTGGTTGATTAGATGGAACTCTTTTTTTTTTTTGTCTGTTAAACAGTTTGGGATGATATACTTGCATTATACTTTTTGGGTTTTTTTTATATTTTGAGTATATTTACACAAACTTGATGAGTTTATTGGATGAAAATGATATTTTGATATTTCTCTTCAACATGCTTATAGATTTGCTTTTAGATTACGGAAGCATATGCCATATTGTCAATCTGCACTACCTGGTTGTCTTTATACACATAAGCTATTAAATGGAAACGACCAGCAAACCATCGAGGTGATGAGGATGCTGGTTAAAGCATATGTACGGGTCTGTGGCCATTTTTGTAATTGCGAATGGTTGCATGAAAGCCGATACATATCAGTGGAGGAGAAAATGGCTATGTTTCTATTGTGTTTAAGCCATAATGAAAGGTTCTCCATTCTGAAGAGAAGATTCCAGCATTCGACCCAAACAATGCATACATACTTTCATCAAATCCTATCTACTATGATGGAATTTGCACGAAAAATTATACGCCCAACTACATTTGACCCAAACCCAAACATCTCAGGGCACCATAAATGACTCTGACAAGTATTCAAAGTAAAAAATTGACAATATCACATAAGTTTCATAATTTTGATTGGTGTAGGGGTTGAGATCAAAACTAGGTATTTTATTTTGTTGCCAAAGGGCTATGTTGGTGTTTTAGATGGAACACTTGTTCGTGTTGTGGTACCACCGGAGATCGAAATATCTACACTACGAATTGAAGCATATGACAATCAGACAAACGGAAACGAGTTACGTACCAACCTCGACCTACTGGACGAGGTAAGAGACCTCGCGCACATCCGGACCGCAACCTACCAGCAAAGAGTAGCTCGGTACTACAATGCCAGAGTAAAGAAGCGGAACTTCCACGTTGGTGACCTAGTCCTCCGTAAGATCATGGCACCTGAGCCCGGCATGGGCAAACTTGGACCGAATTGAGAAGGGCCCTACCGAGTAAAGAGAGCGCTCGGAGGGGCATACAAGCTTGAAACTTTAGAGGGCAAACAAGTACCCCGAGCTTGGAACGTCATTAACTTGAGACGATACTACCTATAGATCACCAAGCGAAGTGGACTAAGTCACTACCAGGGCCAAAGGGCTAGGATGTCGAACTAACAAGGACCTCGGCATGGGCAAGCAAAGGCAAAAAATGCAAACTAAAAGCTCAGGCAAAGTGCCAACAATGAACTAATAGGGGCATCGGCATATGGTCAGTTCGGCAATACGGCCAGTTCGGAGGAAAAAGCGACCAACACTTAATCAAAAGAAAATCATTCCATTGCAAAATACTTTGTGTACATTTCAAAAAAAAAACAAACAGAAGCAAGCTCACAGGCCCGGAGGTACTTCTTCACCATCAGAAGGCACTTCAACGATACCCGAAGGTCCTGCCTCGTCCTCAAAAATCGGCTCACCGTCAGCGGCGTTGCCCATCTCCTGAGTAATGCATGAAGTGGTTATGTCACTAATATCGAGCTTGGGGTACGTATTCCGGATCATCCACCGGCTTAGTTTAAAGCCCCTTCTGTATGAGCCCACTATCAGGTCATCAAAGCGCGACGAGGCGATGTATTCATCAACGGCATTCTTCTTGGCATCCTCAAAGCCTTGAGAAAATATCTGCATCCTCTCCCTAATATCCTCTTGAAGGTATTCAACCTAATGCTGCAAATCCAACCTCAAGTCCGCCATGTGCTTCACCACAACTCCCATGGCCTCGGCATCTCTCTGAGACCTCGCCTGCCTGGCCTGTGTAGTGCGAGGAGATAGGTAATACGCCTGCCTACGTCCGGGAAGGGGACCCGCTTGCTTCTTAAGCATTAAAATGGAAGAGAATATCTCTAGGTCTAAAGGCAAGACCTGTTTGCAAAATAGGGAGATTGTCCCCACCAAGTTACGAATAGAGTTCGGGTGAAGTTGGCCGACGGTAACGCCGAAGTGGTTCATAACCTCGACGATGAGGGGATGGAAAGGCAGGCGCAACTCCACAGTGAGCTGCTCCCAGAATATCACGATCTCATCAGGACCGTGTTCCAAAGGGAAACTGCCCAAGGGTATGAAGTAGGTGTACTCCCTAGGCAAGTTGAACTGAGTAATAAGGGAGTGAAGCCCCTCAGGCGTCATGGTCGAGGGCCCAAACTTGTCTAACGTCCGACCCCGACGAGAGGAGAACGCCAAACTACCCGAGGCAACTCGGCCTACAGGTTCGAACTCTTCCTCGAGTTCTACCTCAGGTTCACTTGGACTGTCGGGGGATGCAACTTGGTTCGTAGAACCTACATCTACCCCCTTGAAGAACTGTCTAAGCTATCCGAGCTAGACATCGGAAGGAGAAGAAGGTTCCAGGAAAGTACTCACCCGGAAAAAAGCAAACGGACTACGAGGACGTGAACGCGAGTTGAAACTTGGACGCGAGCTCAAGAAGCAAAACGCAGGATAATGGCAGCGACTGGGGCCCCCCTATTTATGCCCACAGTAACCAAGAATCAACGGTTCTGATCAAAGAAAATCCAACGGCCCAAAGTCACGCTGACCGCACGTCTCCTGAGACCGAGACGTGACTGGCCGCACGTCTCTTGAAACTGAAAAGAGCGCCAACGCACATCTCCTTGCATTAAAAGCGGCAGCAGCGCGTTTTTAAATATATATATATATATGTATGTATGTATATTTTGAAAACACGCCCGTTGTCACGTCTCCCAATGGCGCGCTTTTTGAATTTTGAAATAAGCGTGCGTTGTCACGTCTGTCAGCATTTATAGACAGATTGGCGCGTTTCCCGTCTTTTTGGCGCTCGAGAAACCCAAAAAGATCCCAATGAACGCGCAATTCGCGCTATCAGTTAAAACCAGTTCGAAAGTACGGGACAAATCCACCCACCACCTCGCGAACTCCCCACGCCAGGGCAAGTCCCTTAGCGCGAGGAGTGGGGGGCAATTGATGAAGGAAGATTTGGCCCGACCTCGTAACCACTCAACACRTGGCAAAGGCAACAGCTCGRCAYAAYAGCACGCCCAAGGCGCGAGCTCCGAAAGGAGGAACCAGCGGTCCGAACTCCCCGTAAGGAGCCCAAGCTCTCCCTTAGGCCCCGAGCCTTACGAACACAAAGGGCCACAACCCGAACTGGCCTGCCCCATAGCGGCTCGGGCCACACCTCTATCCGAACTCAAGACTTCACCTCGCACACCACTCCAGCACTTCGCCTCCAGGACGTCGAACTGAACAACCGTACCTGACACCGAAGGAGTCCGTATCCTGGGGCGGCGCATCTGACTGACTTGGGATCTGACGCTTGACAGCCGCACTTCAACGGCCACCTGCCACCGCCATCTCCGGTTATAGAGACGGCTCCGACAAAGAGAGCAATGGCGGTTCTTCCTCAGTAGAGGTGATGACACCCGAACTGGCAAGAGCGCAGGGGTAATCATACCCAACCTGACAGAAGCTTAGGAGTGAGTGTGCGAAGTGGTTATAAAAGGCTCTCTACCCCCTAAGAACAAGGTATGTGAACTTTGCGTCATCTGGTTTTATCTTGCCTTTGAGAGAATACTAACTTGAGCTTCGGAGCAATCTCACCCGGTTCCTCCCCGGAGATTCCTCACCTTCTCGTTTCAGGCACCTGTTGCTCCTGTCAGAGACAAGGTCGTTGATAGCTAGGACCGGCCGGAATGCGCACCATCAATTGGTGTCGTCTGTGGGAACGCTTCTAAAAGCCTCCCTCTAAAACTCTCATAACCTCTTTTCTTCCAAAAAACCCCAACACTCATGGCTTCTTCCAGCAATATCGGACGTGGCACGGAGATGAACACCACCGGGGAACAACTTCAAGTCCCTGTGGTGTGCATCGAACAGTTCACCATCCCCCTTCTGGTGGATGGGATCCCCAGCCTGAACGCGCCACGAACAGTGGCGCCCGTAAACCTTCCCGCCATGAACGTCCCCTTTCCTCTCCCTGTCGAAACAACCTTTAGTGAACCAACTGCTGTCCCCCTGGCGACCAGCCAGAACCAGTTTGACAACCTGATGAAATGCATGTGGGCAATGCAAGCCCAAATGCAACAATTTCAGCAGCATCAGCTCCAACAGCACCAAGTACGGCACCACATCTCTCAGTATCACTATCAGTAGCAGTTCCCCCAACTGCCTCTAAACCAACCACTGCTTCCACCTTGGCACCCTGCTCCAAAGCCGATTAAGCCCTCCCCTTAGGGTGGACGCCATCATCGAGAAGAAGCCTTCCAACTTTAGAACCCCCACAAGAGCCAGGCCTCATCCCCGGGCCAAGGGGAAAGAAAAATCACCCCTGCCTCGCAGCTCGCCGGCGGGTCGGGAACCTTTTCCGCCAAGTCAGTATCTCAACACTTCAAGTCTGAGCTCCCGCTGACAGAGAATCGATTCAGCGTCCTAACGGCAGACTACCAACAATCCAGGCCCATCGAGCTCGACAACATAGAGGCCAGCAGCGCCAGCACCAGGCCCACTCAGCAATGAAGACGCTGGTGAAGTCGCCGTACTGCCACCCATGTCTTGCCCGAGTTCAGAGGTAAAGAAGAGACAAGCTCAGACGAGGTAAAAGATGCCCCTATTCTCTCAGTTCCTTCCCCCCTCTCATCAGAACTCCTCGCCGTCCTCATGCCCAAAGACTTCAAGCTCCCCCCCTTTAGACAAGTATGATGGGTCCTTCAACCCCAACGACCACGTCGATGCCTTCCAGTCCCAAATGCACCTAGATAGAGCCA